AAACTTCTCCTCGGCCTGCCAGCCGCACTTCCCCCACCACCTGACTCACCAGCTCCCACGTGCCTTGATTGCACCAAGAGCAAACTGCGCCAACAACCCCATGCTGCCTCACCCACAATCGCTGCAGCACCACTGGACCTCGTGCACATGGACGTCTGGGGCCCTGCCCCTGTTCTCGCACGAGGTGGCTATCGCTACTTCCTTATCATTGTGGATGACCACTCCCGCTATGTCTCTGTTCACCTCCTCCACACTAAGGCTGAGGCACCCGAGGTCATCATAGCGTGGGTCAAGCAGGCACAGACCACTTTTGACCGCAAGGTCAAGCGCCTTCACTCGGATGGGGGGGGTGAGTTCTGCAACGACAAGCTCAAAGCCTTCTGCTCCTCCGAAGGCATCCAGCAAAACTTCACCCTCCCTGACAGCCCTCAACAGAACGGCATAGCTGAGAGCCGCAACCACACCCTGGTGCAGATCACTCGGTGCCTCCTCAGCCACTCCAACGCTCCTCACTCTCTTTGGGGGTACGCTCTCTACCACGCTGCCCTCCTCTACAACCTTTACCCCCACCCGCACCTTCCCGACACCACTCCAACCACACTCTGGCTCGGGAAAACGCCCACTGCTCGCTCTCTTCGCGTTTGGGGATGCACCGCCTATGTCCTCCTCAACCCTCAGGCTCGACGGCATAACGGTGGCAAGCTCGGTCCCAAGACTCAGACGTGCATCTACCTCGGGCACAACGCCGACTCACCTGACTACCTCTTCCTCAATCCCTCCACTCACCAGTTGGTCAGGAGCCGTGACGTTGTCTTTGATGAGACCCGCCCATTCTACTCCCCTTCGGGACGGGACCCTCTCCCTGATCCACCCTCCCTCGTGTGGGCAGACTTTGATGCGCCTCCCGACCTCCCGCCTGCTCCTGCTCCCTCACCTCCTCCCTCTCCTGCCATCGCACCATCTCCCTCTGAGGTCACTGACCCGGCCTCACCGGTGTCTTCGGCAGCTGCTCCTCCCTCCCCCTCACCTTCCCCACTTCCCGCTGCGCCGCCCCCTCCGAGCGCACCTATCACCTACCATCGGCGGTCCCACCCTCCGGCCCCACCTCCTCCCCCGGCTCCCCCCACCACAGAGGAACCCGCTCTCCCACAGTCGCCCGAGCTGATCACGTACCGCCGGCGACCCCTTCCCCCGCCCAAGCCTGCTAAGTCACCCTCTCCGACCCCGCCAGCCCCACCCTCTTCCCCGGTGGCTCATGGCACTCGCTCACATCGCGCTACTCTTCCACTCGCGATGGTTCTTCGATACACCGCGATCACACCGCCTCCTCCTGCTGGGGGGGATGTGCCCTCTACCCTTCTAGAAGACAGGCATGAGGAACTGTGTGATCTCCATGCAGTCCTTCCTCAGCTCTCACACATCTTCCCCGACATCACTGGCTCACCCTCCCTCAACTTCGCGGAGAACCCGACCATCCCTATCCCTCTCACCGTCCAAGAGGCTCTCTCAGGCCCTCATTCTGCCAAATGGCGTGCTGCCATGGACGCGGAGATTGCAGCATTCACCCGCAACCACTCCTTCGACGACGAGACTCCACCTCCAGGAGTCAACATCGTCGGGGGCAAGTGGTTGTTCCGTGTAAAACAGCTCCCAGACGAGGCACCGGTGTTTAAAGCGCGCTACGTAGCCAAGGGCTTCACCCAGCAGCAGTACCGCGACTTCTTCCTAACCTTCTCCCCCACATCCAAACCTCCCACCATTCGTACGCTCATGGATGTCGCAGCTCGAGAAGACTTCGAGATCAAATCCATGGATGCCTCATCCGCCTTCCTACAAGGACGTCTCAAGGAGACAGTGTTCATGGACAGACCAGAAGGCTTCCCAGGAGATTTCCCTCCCAACACTGTCTGGAAGCTGAATCGCCCCGTCTACGGCCTTAAGCAAGCCCCTCGCGAATGGCACAACAAGGTGAAAGAAGTCCTCCTCTCCCTGGACTTCCACCCTTCAACTGCTGACCCGACTCTCTTCATCCGCCGTCATTCTGAGCCCTTCTACATCCTAGTCTACGTGGATGATTTCATCCTCGTGGCCAAGGACTCGGCCCAGATGACCTCAGTCCAGGCAGCCCTAAGCAAGGCTCTCCAGATGAAAGACCTCGGTGACCTCAAGCACTACCTGGGGATGGAGATCACTCGTGATCGCAAGGCTCGCACCATCTCACTCTCCCAGGAGTTCTACATCGACAATGTGCTCAAGCGATTTGAGATGGAGCTATGCACACCTGTTGCCACCCCGCTGCCGCTGCAACACCTCCTCACAGCTCCAGCGGTACCCACACCAGAGGCCTGCTCTGAGCCATACCCGGAGCTTGTTGGGTCCCTCATGTACGCCATGATGTGCACCCGGCCAGACCTGGCCTATCCTGTCAGTGTCCTCTCTCGCTACGTGGCCCCTGGACGCTTCACTGACCTTCACTGGAAGGCAGCCAAGCGGGTGTTGCGCTATCTTCAGGGCACCAAGTCTCACGTCCTCACACTCGGTGGGCTCTCCCCTCCTCGCCTAGAGGGTTACACCGACTCCTCCTGGGCTGATGACCAGACCGACCGACGCTCCTCTCAGGGGTACTGCTTCACCCTTGGGAGCGGAATTGTCAGTTGGCGCTCCACCAGGTCGTCTGCAGTCTCCCTCTCCTCATGTGAGGCAGAGCTCTACGCAGGCACCATGGCTGCTCAGGAGGCTCGTTGGCTCACCTTCCTCCTCCAGGAACTTGGTTTCCCACAGTCCGCCCCTACCCTCTGGTGTGACAACCAGAGTACCATCCACATCTCTCAAGACCCTGTGTATCACACCCGCACCAAGCACATTGAACTCCGGCACTTCTTCATCCGTGACCTTGTCCAACAAGAGCAGTTGAAAGTGGAATACGTTGCATCTGACTGCAACCTGGCTGATCTGTTCACCAAGCCCCTTGGGAAAGTTCCCCACCACCGTCTCCTTGGCGCCATGGGGCTCTGTGCTCCACCCTCTCTACCCTGAGTTCGATTGACGCCTATGGGGGGGTGTTAGTGTTAGTCTTCAATCTCACAATTTGTACTTTGTATTTTCTATATCCTAGAGTAGTGTAGTTTGCACATTGTGTTTGGTTGGGTGTACACCTACATCCCAACCAAACCCAAATGTAATCTCCAACCAATCTCCAACCCACCAATTGGAGATTGCCTTGGGATTACCCCCAATCCCTAGAGATTGCCCCCGATTCCCTTCCCCATCCTTTTCCTACCCCTCTTGGATGTACTTAAAGAGCTTCAAGCTCATTACTAATGTATCGCTTCTAAGCCTATTTCTGACAGGAGGCGCCTTGGTCCGGGCGCGCGCCGTGGTCCGGGCGCGCGCCTTGATCCGCGCGCGCGCCTTGGTCGTGGCGCGCGACTTAGTGCAGGCGGCGCCTTGGTCTAGGCGCGCGACTTGGTACACGCGCGCGCCTTGGTCCACGCGCGCGCCTTGGTCCAGGCGCGCGCCTTGGTCCAGGTTCGCGCCATGGTCCACACGCGCGACTTGTTCCAGACGCGCGACTTGGTCCAGGCGCGCACCTTGGTCCAGGAGCACGCCTTGGTCCAGGAGCGCGCCTTGGTCCACGCGCGCGCCTTGGTCCAGGCGCGCGCCTTGGTCCACACGCGCGCCTTGGTCTACGTACGCGCCTTGATCCACGCGCGCGCCTTTGTCCACGCGCGCGCCTTTGTCCACGCGCGCCTTGGTCCAGGCGCGCGCCTTGGTCCAGACGCGCGACTTGGTCCACGCGCGCGCCTTGGTCCAGACGGCGCCTTGGTCCAGGCACGCGCCTTGGTCGACGCGCGCGCCTTGGTCCACGCGCGCGCCTTGGTCCACGCGCGCGCCTTGGTCCACGCGCGCGCCTTGGTCCACGCGCGCGCCTTGGTCCACGAGCGCGCCTTGGTCCACGAGCGCGCCTTGGTCCACGAGCGCGCCTTGGTCCAGGCGGCGCCTTGGTCCACGCGCGCGCCTTGGTCCACGCGCGCGCCTTGGTCCACGCGCGCGCCTTGGTCCACGCGCGCGCCTTGGTCCACGCGCGCGCCTTGGTCCAGGCGCGCGCCTTGGTCCATGCGCGCGCCAGTCCACGCGCGCGACTTGGTCCACGCGCGCGCCTTGGTCTAGGCGCGCGACTTGGTCCAGGCGGGGCCTTGGTCCAGTCGCGCGCCTTGGTCCTCACGCGCGCCTTGGTCCAGTCGCGTGCCTTGGTCCATGCGCGCGCCTTGGTCCACGCGCGCGCCTTGTTCCACGCGCACGCCTTGGTCCACGCGCGCGCCTTGGTCCACGCGTGCGCCTTGGTCCACGCGCGCGCCTTGATCCACGCGCGCCCGTTGGTCCACGCGCGCGCCTTGGTTCACGCGCGCGCCTCGGTCCACCCGTGCGCCTTGGTCCACGCGCGCGCCTTGTTCCACGCGCGCGCCTTGGTCTTAGCGCGCGCCTTGGTCCACGAGCGCCCCTTGGTCCACGCGCGCGCCTTGGTTCACGCGCGCGCCTTGGTCCACGCGCGCGCCTCGGTCCACACGTGCGCCTTGGTCCACGCGCGCGCCTTGGTCCACGCGCACGCCTTGGTCGATGCGCGCGCCTTGGTCCACTACTTTTGAGGCGCCTGATTAATCCATTTTTTAGGCGCCTCAAAAGCAGTGAAGTGCATTTTCGCCTTGGTCCACTGCTTTTGAGGCACCTGGTTAATCCATTTTTGAGGCGCCTCAAAAGCAGTGAAGTGCATTTGCTTAGAGTGGAACCTCGGAAACATAAGGTTGGATTCCCCAGTCACCATCACACTCTCATCAGGTTAACCTCCTTGCGTCATCAGGTCGGATTAACCGTCATCAGGTTAATCTTCTTGCGTTCTAGACTAACCATAATAATCTAGAACGCAGGAAGTGAAAAAGTCAGGTTAAATTCCCCAGTCACCATTACACTCTCTAGATCTAATTGAATATCTTTGAACATACCTGGGGTGCCAGCAAACTGGAAAGTGGCATGCAGAGCATACGGTTCTAGACCCACCACCTTGTGCAGATGCTGCGGGGAGGACGCACGGAACAAACGAGAGGGACAAATGGAGAAACGGAGGAGAAAGGTTCGAAAGTTAAGTCCTCTGTGCAGAGCATACGGTTCTAGACCCACCACCTTGTGCAGATGGTCCTTTGCGCTTGCTTCAACGTCTGGCCCCATGTGCTTGCGCATCAGCCCGTTCACCCCGTTCGGATTCCACAGCCTGAGATATGATATGATCATATGCAGCAGCTCACTCACACTAGCCCCCTCACATCCAGCCTCACGTGCATTTTCTACTCTGAGAGACAACGCACACAACTGAAGAAAGAAGGTATGGCCTGAATAGAAGACAGATAGACACAGGGCAAGATCCCCAGCTTGAGACTGCCATCGAACGCGAGTTGACTTTTGAGTCGACTCAAAAGACTGGGTGGTGGTGGTCCGCAGTGCTCGGGTCAACATCCGGCCCCATGTGCTTGCGCATCAACTCATTGAACCCGTTCTGGTCCCATCCCATACATTGGCGCCACTGGCTTAGTTGTTCAGCATACCTGAACAAAGTAGGTGTGGCCCGAGCAGAAGACAGAGACAGGCAGAATTCCCAGCTTGAGGCTGCCGTCAAACGCCCAGAACAGATGGTCCCCTGCAGCAGGATCTACATCCGGCCCCATGTGCTTCCTCATCAACTCATTGAACCCGTTCTGGTCCCATATCTTGGCGTCAGTAGCTAGAAGCTCCGCCCATGCGCGTGCCAGGCGCTTGGCTGGATCGGTGGGGCGGAAGTGCAGAATGCCGATGTTGTACGCGCTCTGTGCTGGGGGGGTTGGGTACCGGAGAGGTGGGGAGCGGAAGGGAGGGAAAGACTGGAGGGTGCTATGCCGGGTTGGTGGGGCGGAAGTGCAGAATGCGTATGTTGTACGCGCTCTGTGCTGGGGGGGTTGGGTACCGGAGAGGTGGGGAGCGGAAGGGAGGGAAAGACTGGAGGGTGCTATGCCGGGTTGGTGGGGCGGAAGTGCAGAATGCGTATGTTGTACGCGCTCTGTGCTGGGGGGGTTGGGTACCGGAGAGGTGGGGAGCGGAAGGGAGGGAAAGACTGGAGGGTGCTATGCCGGGTTGGTGGGGCGGAAGTGCAGAATGCGTATGTTGTACGCGCTCTGTGCTGGGGGGGTTGGGTACCGGAGAGGTGGGGAGCGGAAGGGAGGGAAAGACTGGAGGGTGCTATGCCGGGTTGGTGGGGCGGAAGTGCAGAATGCGTATGTTGTACGCGCTCTGTGCTGGGGAGGTGGGGAGAAGGAGAGGGTATAGGGAGGGGAAAGGGGGGAAGAGGGCGCATAGGGGGGAAGAGGAAGGGATGGTGCTTGGCTGGGTTGGTTGGGCGGAAGTGCAGAATGCAAATGTTGTACGCGCTCTGTGCTGGGGAGGTGGGGAGAAGGGTGGGGGGATGGTAGTGTGATGTCAAGGAAGCGGGCGGGATGGGACTTCTCCAGAGACTCATCATCAACTGAGCGGACTAGATGGTCGGTGGATGTGAGGACGCATGCAGGTGTGCCGCCTCACACCTCTTCACACCTGCTCACTCCATTTCACACCTACTCACCCCTCTCTCACCTTGCTGCCATTTCTCCAGGGACTCATCGTAAACTGAGCGGACTAGATGGTCGCTGGATGTGAGGACGCATGCAGGGGCACCACACCAGCTCACACCTATTCACGCCTTCTGACACCTCTTCACAGCCCACGCACCCCTCTCTCACCTTGCTGCCACTTCTCCAGGGACTCATCGTCAACTGAGCGGATTAGATGGTCGCTGGATGTGAGGACGCATGCAGGGGCACCACACCAGCTCACACCTATTCACGCCTTCTGACACCTCTTCACAGCCCACGCACCCCTCTCTCACCTTGCTGCCACTTCTCCAGGGACTCATCGTCAACTGAGCGGATTAGATGGTCGCTGGATGTGAGGACGCATGCAGGGGCACCACACCAGCTCACACCTATTCACGCCTTCTGACACCTCTTCACAGCCCACGCACCCCTCTCTCACCTTGCTGCCACTTCTCCAGGGACTCATCGTCAACTGAGCGGATTAGATGGTCGCTGGATGTGAGGACGCATGCAGGGGCACCACACCAGCTCACACCTATTCACGCCTTCTGGCACCTCTTCACAGCCCACGCGCCCCTCTCTCACCTTGCTGCCACTTCTCCAGGGACTCATCGTCAACTGAGCGGATTAGATGGTCGCTGGATGTGAGGACGTCTGCTGTGGGGTAGCGAGCGATGAAGGGCAGTGGGTTCTGCAACAGGAAGAGCATAAGGAGACACAGCGAGGGAGAGATGGGGGAGGGCGAGGAGGATAATGAGGGTAAGTCAGCAAGGGCTGGAAGGACAAGGTGGTCAGGTCACTGGATGTGAGCACATCGGCTACTGGGCAGCGAGCAATGAAGGGCAGAGGGTTGTGCAACCAAAGAAATTGGGGATAGAGAGAGTGAACGGGTGATGGAGGGAAGAAAGAGGTAAGAAAGTTGAACCAGCAAGAGTGCCCCACCCTTCCCACCCACCCCAATCATGCCATCCACTACCTACTGCACGGCGATCCTCCTGGGTGCAAGTGAACCAGCAAGAGTGCAGGTGGTGCAGGAGGTAAGAAAGTTGAACCAGCGCTGCTGCCACGCTGCAAGAGTGCCCCACCCTTCCCACCCACCCCAATCATGCCATCCACTACCTACTGACTCATTTGAAAGCATACCCTTAGGACGCGGCACCTCTAGCGATTTTGCAGGACCGACCAGAGTGACCTTCTCCCACCCCATGGCATGGAACACTGGCATGTCCCACCCTGTCCTCCTCCCCACCCCACTTGCTCCACCCCTAGCTGATAATAATTGACTCATCTGACAGCCTACCCGTTGCCACACGGTGTTGGTGTCACAGATAAGAAGCTCCACGCCCATCGATGGTAAAACGTTGACCAGAACCTTCTCGCGCCCCATGGCATGGAACACCGGCGTGCCCCACCCCGTCCTACCCTTTTCAACCCACCCTGATCGTTCCACTCACCACCGATTGACCAATTGCTCTTACAACAACTACACTTACCCTTAGCCAAACAGTGTCGGTGTCACAGATAAGCAGCTCCACGCCCATCGATAAGAACACGTTGACCAGAGTGACCTTCTCCCGCCCCATGGCATGGAACACTGGTGTGCCCCACCCTCCCACCCCACCCCACTTGCTCCACTCTCACCCCCCACTACCTAGTGGCCGGTTGCTCTTGCTACGGCTCCTCTTACCCTTAGCCACACGGTGTCGGTGTCACATATAAGAAGCTCCACCCCCATGGAGAGAAACACGTTCACCAAAGTCACTTTCTCGCGCCCCATGGCATGAAACACTGGTGTGCCCCACCCGCTGTCCTCTGGACTCATGCCGCTCTCCAGGTCAAACACAGGCACGCCGTCCCGGTAGAGTGCTTCCAAGATAGTAGGGTCCATGGCGCCTGGGATCAGAAAGAGGAGAGAAGGAAAGAGACGGAGAAGGGGATCAACACAGTGCCCCACCCGCTGTCCTCTGGGCTCATGCCGCTCTCCAAGTCAAACACAGGCACGCCTTCAAAGTAGGGTGCTTCCAGGATGGTAGGGTCCATGGCGCCTGGGGAAGGGAAGGGACGCAAGGGCCAAACTGGTACAGGATGCTGCTTCACACATGCACCCTCCCCCCCCCCCCTCCCCCCTTCCTTCCCCCTGTCCTCTGGACTCATGCCAGTCAGCCAATCCTTCTCACCTATGAGGATGTTGGTCACTCTGGGCTCATGCCGCTCTCCAGGTCAAACACAGGCACACCTTCCCGGTAGAGTGCTTCCAAGATTGTAGGGTCCATGGCTCCCCCCCCCCCCCCCCCCTCCCCCCCTCCTCCCCCCTGTCCTCTGGACTCATGCCAGTCAGCCAATCTTTCTCACCTATGAGGATGTTGGTCGCTCCCAGATCTGTGAGGTGCTTCACCCAGTTGAGCACGAAATCCAAAACTCGTGGTTGCGAGAGTCACCACCACCACATCCCACTCCTGCTGACGCCTCACCACCCATCACCACCCTTTCTCTCCTCACCTATGAGGATATTGGTCACTCCCAGATCCGTAAGGTGCTTCACCCAGTTGAGCATGAAATCCAAAAAAGCATGGTTGGCAAAAGTCACCACCAACACGTCCCACTCCTACTTTTAAGACGCCTTAAAAACCCTGAACTGTGAGACTGCGTGATTGGCAAATGCCAACACCCCGCCTCACCTATGAGGATGTTGGTCACTCCCAGATCGGTGAGGTGCTTCACCCAGTTGAGCGCGAAATCCAAAAACGCATGGTTGGCGAAAGTAACCACCACCACGTTCTTTTCCGCTCTGAACTCAACCATCTCCCTCCGCAGTGCAAACTCCTCTTTTCCAGGAACCTTCCCGCCGGGCGGCGGTTTCTCCCAGATGGGTCGCTTCAGCTCCGGAATCAACGGCCTTCCCTCGTGTATGATTGGCCGGACACCCCGAGCGAAAGTTTCACCTGCCCGGTCATTGCTGGTTGTATTACTCTCCCCTTCATCTCCAGTGGCTTTTATTGCATCGTCAGAAGCAGCGGCAAGAGCAGCAGAGGCGTCGTTTACGATCCCCTTTCTGCTACTGCTGAAATTCCCATCTCCAGTAACATCCTTGTTGTTCTTGCTCAGGGCTTTGCTGCTTCCTCCCAGGTTTTGCGCTGCAAGAAAATTGTTCCTCTCTCCCTCCTCCTCGCTCTGAACCCCTCCGCCCTCCTCTCCTGTTCCCATTTGAGGCTGCGCCTCAGCGTTCCTTTCCCCTGCTTCTCCCTCTGGTGCTGCTGTTGATGGTTCTGAAGATCCTGATGCTGCTGCCGACGATTCGGATGCAGCGTTGCTGCGAAAAGGCAGCAGCTTGTTAGAAGCAAAGACCGCATTGCTGCCGCTCCTTACAGCTGGTGTCATATCTGGTGTATGAAAAGAAGACATGCAATAGCGTTTCTAGATGAAGAAGTGAGGGGGGGAAACGAGATTCATCGGCAGAACTAGATTTAGAGGGGCAAAAATGTAAGGCGAATCATCAGCAGGTCGAAAAGAACACGAAATGCCGCAGCCTGCTCGTGTTTTTTTATGCGACATGGAAATCCGACACACGGACAAGTCATTGCAGCAACAAACTAACAACGCGCAGGTATTGACGAAGCTATTCAGGACCAAGCTTAAGCTGGAAGGATGCACACTCTATACCTTGCTCGTCCACATTCGTCGCTTCCTCGACCCGCGACTCGAGGAAATCGTTCCACTGGCTTTCCAAGCTCCAGTATACCGGCCGGCCGAGAATGTAACCGACTATCATGACGGCTAGCAGGCCGGCGACGCCAAGGACTCTACGAAGCCGCGACATCGCGGTTGCTGGACCAGACGCGGAAGGACAAGAATAATTCAATTGTAACGAGACGGCTCTATAATAAACAGACCATTCGGCCTACTAGCTATTGAATTTCGCATGACATGCTTCAATCAGAGCCAGCTAGATGCTCAGCGCGTCCCTACTCGTCTGTCAGGGTAGGGATCGCCTCGCCACGCCACAGACTCTGCTTCAAGAGACCAGCAGAAGTTTGCACAAGCAGGAATAAAATTGTAGAAATGAACCTTGGGATTGCGGACCACTGAAGGTGATCAGTGGCAGAGAGGCCAATTTGGCAGTTACGAGAGGGCAGGATGTGATATGTACGCGTTATTGCTATGCAGAAAAATCTTCACCGACAAAAAAAACAACAGCATTTATATACAGAATATACATAACACCACGAACACATAACTAATGCTCCACCAGCTCAAACCTTTCCCTTCAGCTCTTGCCTCGCCACCACCATTCTCAACACATCCCCGGGACTCAGCCTCGAGCCGTTTGCATTCGCCTGACACTCCTGCAACTGCCGAGCCAATTCCGACCACGACAGAGTCCTCAAGGGACCTGGGGGAGGGGAATCATCATCAACCATTCCCTGGCTCCACTGCTGCAAAAGCATCAAGTCTACACCATCATGCCCTTTTTTAGCTGATTGTTCTTTTGGCGGATTTACACCCCGCAAGTGGTAGCTCAACCAAAAGTCCTCCCCTTCAGTCACGCTCCCCAGACTCTTCTCCTTCTGACCCGCCCTCGCACCACTTCCGCCCTTAGTAACGCTTCCCTTTTGCAACGGCATTGCACTGTACGGAATCGCACTATAGGGGATCGCACTGTACGGCAGGCTGTAGCTCAGCTGCAGCCGCGGAGCCGGCGAATCAGAGGCGTCCGTCCACACCGATGGGGATTTGGGAAAGAAAAAAGAACCTGGACTGGCAGCTGCACTGTAGCTGCTGCCGTTGCTGGTAACCACACTCGGCTGCTCTGATTGGCTGCTGCGGGACAGGGGAAAGAGAGTTGATTGGAGGAAGGCATCTGAGGGGACACTGTGGGTTCTCTCCAAGGAAGAGGGTGCAAGGTGAGAATGAAGCGAGTGGGTGTGTGACAAAGAGCAAGGAGGGAATGGGTGGTGGTGCTGCTGCTGGGAGTGAAGCGCCTCCTGTTCTATCTGACTCTTTCCTCCTCCTACTCCCCCTGCTGGTGTTCCTCCCCCCTCCATGGAATTCCAGCAAGCAGAGTGATGTGTGAGAGGATGGAACACCTGCTGCTGCTGCTGCGGCTGCTGCTGCTTCCCCCGCTGGCACTGTTGCTGTTGCCGCTGCTGCTGGTGGTGCCACTGCTGTAGCTGCGACAGCTGCTGCTGCTGCTTCTCCAAGTGTGAGAGCCACTGCTGCTGCTGCAGCAGCTGATTGGAAAACCCTTCCGCACCAGCAGGCAGCCCATGCTTCTGCCTAAGCTCCAGGTATCTAGCTCTCACATCCGACCCATGTCCACCTGACTTAGACACATTAGACACACCGTACTGTGCTCGCATGTCCGCCCCATGCCCTCCCAGCTTAGACAGCCCATACTGCGCCCTCAGATCCGCCCCATAGACCGCGGATTTCGATACACCGGATCGGGACCCCACCGTGTGCGACCGGGGAAGCTTCCAGGAATGGATGGTAGCCGCCCCGAGCTCGGAATGAGCACATTCATCCTTTTCTTTGCCTTCCCCATCCCTTCTATGTCCACCTCCAGGGGGAACCCACACCCCTGATACCCCCACACCTGCTGCAGACTCCATAGACTGCTTGCCTCCTCTTCCCTCCCTCACTCCTCCGTTGTTGCTCCTCCTTCCCCCTCCTGCCCTCCTCTCACCCGCTTCTTCTTCTTCAGCAGCGGCCAGGGCGTGAAGGGACAGCGCACTCAGCGCTCGCTTGTGGGCTGCTGCAGCAGGACCAGCAGGACCAGCAGGGCCAGCAGGACTGGTCCCAGACGTGGTATTGATACGAGCACCAGCACGGGTGGCAGCAGCAGAACCCCACCCGCCTTCAGCAGCAGGAATGGAACCAGAAGGCGAGCTAGAAGCAGGGAAGTTAGCAGCAGCAGGCTGAGCGGAGGCAGCAGCAGCAGGGGAGATAGCAGCAGCAGGGGAGATAGCAGCAGCAGGGGAGGTGCCAGCGTGCCAGCCCACGCCCCACCCACCCGATCCCTGCCGCCACAGCTGCTGCAGAGCCGACGCCAGCCGACTACTCTCACTCGACTCGTGTCTCCTCAATCGCCCCCTCTCCCCACCCCCTCCTCCCCTCCCGCCCCTTCCTCCCTTCTCTCCCCCTCTTCCCATCTCAATCCCCTCTTCCCTGGTGCCCCCTCCACCTCCTGATTCTCCACCGCAGCCTCGCTGCAGGTCAGAAAACGGCAGGTTAAGAGATTGCTGATTCTCTGCAGTGGGAGATTGCTGGGTTTTGAAGATCCCGGGCCTTGATTTGGGCAGTCCGCCTCTCTTCCACTCGTGCAAGGAGCCTCTGGGGGACTTCTCCTCCCGCTGCCAGTGGGAGAGGGTCGGACCTCTGGGCGTGTTGTGAGTGCTCACGCTCTGCCTTGTTCGGGTTGACCGAGTTGACTGCATTGACTGTGTTGACTGCAAAGACAGCATGGATTGGATTGACTGCGTTGACTGGATCGTCTGGGTTGACTCGGTTGACCGGGTTGACTCGCACGCCGTGGAGCCCACTGACGCGTGCCGCTCGAATCGCGGCGGCCGGCCGGCGGCGGGCGGTGGCCGCTTCCGGGAAGCTTCCCGTCTGGGAGTAGAGACGCACGAGCCGCCCGTGCACCCGGTTGTGGCGAAGGACTCTGCATCGGATTCAGCATCAGATCCTGCTTCAAAGGCTTCAAAAGCACTGCTGGTGAAGCCATAGAAAGTATCACCATCATTATGACAATCATAATCATAGTTGTTGTTATCCCTGTTGTTATCCCCGTCGTCGTCGTTGTCTGAAGCGTCACTGGTGATGTCGAGAGTGAGAATGCCCTTCATATGCATCCCTCTCCGCTGGTTTGGGTTCTGCTGGCTTAATTGCTGCTGGTTCGACTGCTGCTGCTGATTCTGCCTGAGACCATCCTTACGCTGTGGCAGATTTTCAGGCTGGGAATCCCCCAGGATATCAACCAACAGGCTGTGATCTGCTTCCCCCGGATCTTCTTCCGCCTGTGCGTCTCCCCCTCCCTCCACCAGCCCGTCACGCGCAGGGCTGGCGCTTGATGAAGCTGTTGTTCCCCCTACGTGAAGTCCGCGCCCTGCGGGTTCGTTAGCTGCTTGCACGCCCCGCTGCTTCGCGCTCTGCTGCTTCGCGCGCTGCCCCTCCGCGCTCTCCGTTTCCGTGCTCTCCCCTTCAACGGCCTTCCCTTCCGCGCCCTTTCCTTCCGCGCGCTGCCCTTCCTGCGCGCCTTGCTCCGCGAGAGCCGTTTTAGAGAGATAGTACGTCCCTCCCGGATGCAGCACCTTATCTCGCGGCAGCACGGCGCGCTTCGACGACATGGATCCCACGCAATACCCCGGATGCTCGCGCATGACGTCAGCCACCGTCAGCTGCCGCGCCGACGCCCTTCCGCCGCCTCCGCGGGGCCTGCGCGGAACCCGACTCCGCGAGTGATGGCGCGCGGATTGCGAGAAGTGCGCGGAGTCAAAGACGCGCGAAAGCCCGGCGCTGATCGGCGCGGGCAGGTCTCCGCCGCTGGCGAACGGCTTTCCGCCGTGAACATCCCCACCGGAGGCGGAATGCGCGGGCGTTTCTCCGCCGAAGAGGTCCCCGCTGGAGGCGGAATGCGCGGGAGTCTTTCCGCCAGGCGCGTACATCTTCATGGAGCCGTCGGGGAGGAGAAGCAGCACGAGGCGCGGCCCGAAGATGCGCTTCCATCGCTGCAGGCGTTCAAGCAGCGGGCGCGACGGGTTAAGAAAAGGGGCTGGCTGCGGCAGCGCCGCGGCGGGATCGGCGGCGGGAGACGCTGCTGCAGGATCTGCGGCGGGATGCGCGGCAGCAGTGATTGAAGGCACACGGGTTGTTTTCATTCTGAAGGATCCGCTCGTCGTTCCCTAAACTTCTCTTTCTTCTGATAGACAGCGGCTCCGAGACGCGGAGAGATCGAAGAAAACCGGACGCGCTCTAAGCTTATAGATATCAAATCGAGAAAAAAGGGACGGGCTTCTTTGGACCGGCCTAGGCTCCTTCTCGAGTCGACATCTAAACGAGGAGGGAATCGGCCTTTCAGCTCGAAACAGGCTCCGATGAGGGAAGTTAATAAGTTTTACTGTGTTGCTTCGAGATAAGAAGGACACGTAACCGCACCGGAACGCAACGCACGCTTCGCTGCTGGTCCAAAGAAGACTTAAAACTTTTGGAACGAGCTCAGAAACGATTCCTTCATACGCCGCTCAGGAAGGTGTTGCTGTTGTCACCCTTGACTCAAACTAAATGCGACAATTGGAGAGGAGCTTAAATAAAAGTGAAGATCCGCTAGCGGTCACAAGGCGGTCCCGGGCCTGAACGTAGGTTGCTAGCGCCTCTCAGATGGCCTGAATGTCGGTCGTCTCTGATAACCGAAAGCGCATCAGGTCAAGTTTTTGGTCCAGTCAAAACTCGCCTCATGTCACGGGGATCTTTGCGCGCATCAGGTCGGTCATGTGTTCGTCCGTCGACGGCGATCGAATCGCCTGGTTTAAGGGGTAACGTCCTGTCGCGAGACATGGTTCGATTGGACGGACGACTTCGCGGGTAAGGGCTTATGGTCAGGATAGTGGGATGCCTCTGCATCCCGTGGCTTTTCTAGAGATAACCGCTGTACGCCGAAGCGCAACACCCTCGGAGTTAGTGTTAGCTGCTGTTGAGTAGAGGTTTCTGGGAGGAACAAACTGAATTAGCTCGGAATCCTCGGCTGGCAGGGAAAACAGTAAAAGCACGCCAGCACGGAAGTTGTCCCGCATAATCGAGAATATGGAATGAATATCGCTGCTGTGAGATAGGAAAGGGTCAGTTTTGCTATGTGGTCTGTCTTGTCATACCAACGGATTAGCTACTATGGAGCATTTTGTGGTCATGGAATGGACTCTGCATGTGATTCTTCTGCACCGCTGGCAAGTCATTGGCTGGAGTCAACCCAAATGACAGGAAGATGACTCGTCAAATGGGATCATCCACGTCATCACCGTCATTTCCATTCGACGTGTCCCAGAATTACTGCCTGGCAGAACATCTCCGGGCACTGAGCTTGGATTTGGAGGGAGTGAAAGGCGATGCGCCAGAACGCAAACAGAATGTGACTCGGGGCAGCTGTGAAACGTTTGCGCAGAATGATTTTTTTTTTCTTTCCAGCATGCACCAATGAGACACACGCAGCCCTCACCAGTCCTAGGGCATCAGGACGTTTCAATCCTGCCCGCGTCCTTGCATATCCATCCCTCCCTGCGACCCGCTTCTTGGTGAAGTGAAGACCTACATGCTCGCATTCACATGCTGTTAGGGCTTGTACGCCGAAGTGGTGTCGTAGGGCTGCGAGTTTCCCGCTGCGCTACTGGTCACCTTGCCGTTTCCTCTCGTTGGTAACGACTGTCGCGTTCGTTGTTTCCCTCGCGAATCTCACCAAACTCCGCTCGCCTCTCATTGCTCGTTCCTCCCCGCCGTCGGCGCAGTTCTTTTTTTCCTCACCATCCCCACAGCTCATAGCCGTCGCCATCCTCCATTCGCCGTAACCATTGCCATTCGCAGCTGTATCTTAGCCACCAACGCATCGTCAATACTTAGCCGTCACCCGCACCCACCCACCTCGCGGTTAGATTCGCCAGTTTTCAGGAATTCACACGTCGCAACGTGCGTTGCGAAACCCACTCTTCCCGCCCTGCTTTCGCTTGACGAATCTTCCATAAAGACACTTTGCCTACCTTCAGATTCTGCTTTTCCGCGCCTGATACAGTAATACTAGCAATGTCGGCGCTGCTCCGCGCGGCTGCGCGATGCGCGCGGGAGGGCATCAGGAGGGGCGGAGCAGAACGCGTCCCGGCGCGCGCGGGCGTTAATGCGCGCGCCGACGGGCTCGTGGACAGCTGGAAGAGTGCGGCCCGACCACTGCTAGTAGGGTGCCTTGGAGCGAGCCGCGAGGTGCATAGCGGACCGCCTGTTTCGGAGGCGTCTCAGAGGCAGAGTCCGCCGGCAGTAACGCGCCTCGGGGGGTGCCGCGAGGTGCACAGCGGGCAGGCGATAATCATGGCGAAGCGCGGCGCGGACCTGCTGCATGACCCGTGGTACAACAAGGTGTGTGACTGTGAGAGAAGTTGATACAAGGAGGTGTGTGACTGTAGCGAGGACTTCAGAGGCGCCGCACAAGTCATGGCGAAGCGCGGCGCGGACCTGCTGCACGACCCGTCGTACAACAAGGTGCGTGACTACAAACGAGGGTGGTACTGATGGGAGGTCTGTGACTGTAGAGAGGCCTTTGAGGCGCCTCAGAAATCATGGCGAAGCGCGGCGCGGACCTGCTCCACGACCCGTGGTACAATAATGAGGTGCGTGACTGTAATCGAGGGTGGTACAACAAGATGTGTGACTATAAGAGAGCGTTTGAAGCACCCGAGAGGGACCAGCTGGGATTGGGAGGGCTGCTGCCCCGCTGCTCCTATTCCCCAATCCCCCCGTCCCTTTCTCCCTCTTCCTCTTCCCACAATCCCCCCCCCCCCGCCCACACCAGCACACGGCGTTTGAAGCGCCCGAGAGGGACCGGCTGGGGCTGAGGGGGCTGCTGCCGCCAGGGTACCAGACCATGGACGAACAGGTGGCGCAGTTCAGTAAGTGCTCTTTTGTGCTTCAAACGAGACAGGTTATAGCGAGCAATGGGTTATCGGGTTGAGGGGGCTGCTGCCGCCAGGATACCAGACCATGGACGACCAGGTGGCGCAGTTCAGTAAGTTGTGTGCTTAAAACGAGGCAGCTTATAGCGAGAGAGATTTGATTGGATGAAGGGTGCTGCTCCTGCCGCCAGGATACCAGACAATGGACGAGCAGGTGGCGCAATTCAGTAAGTTTTTGAGTGCTTACAACGAGGCAGCTTATAGCGAGAGAGCAAGGGTCCATCAGGGTGTGGGAGCTGCTGCCGCGCCGCCAGGGTACCAGACAATGGACGAGCAGGTTGCTCAATCCAGTAAATTCTTTGTTATGACAACAGGAATCAGGAAGATGAATCAGAAGCCCCTCGTTCCCCTGCAATGTCTCTACCCCATTCGTTTCCCTCGTTTTGGTCCCATCTAGCCTCATCTCATCCTTCCCGCCGCCTTCTACCCCCACCTTCCCCCTTCCACTCCCCTTCTCCCCTCCCCCTTCCCCAGTGGCGGAGTACAGGAAGATGGACCAGAAGGCACTCATGCCGGTTGACCAGCAAAAGTGGCGCATTCTCCCTCTCCTCCCGTGTCCCCCCTCCACATTCCCTCCCCCCCTCCCCCTTTCCCCACTAACCAGTGGCGGAGTACGTGAAGATGGACCAGAAGCCGCTCATGCCTCAGCACTGGCCCCTCCACGTCTCTTCCCCATTCCTCCCCCCCACTTTCCCCTCCCCCCCTCCCCCTCTCCCCACCAGTGGCGGAGTACAGGAAGATGGACCAGAAGCCGCTCATGCCTCTGCAATGTGTACCCACATCCTTGCCCTCTCCCCCTCCTCCCTTGTCCCTTCCCCCGTCAACCCCCCGATCCCCCGCTTCTCCCCCTCACCGCACTCCAGTGGCGGAGTACAGGAAGATGGACCAGAAGCCCCTCATGCCGGACGACCCAGTCGACCTGCAGAAGTGGCGCATTCTCAACCGCCTGCACGACCGCAACGAGACACTGTATTACCGGGTACGATGTCACTGCACTGCACTGCACCACACTGTACCGCACCCATTGCACGATGACGTGCGAAAGTTTCAACTGCCTGCACCACCGCTATGAGACTCTGTGCCGCCGGCATTCCCTACCGCTATGAGACTCTGTTCCTCTTTTCCCCTCAACAGTATACCATCACCTCTCCTCTCATTGCCGGCTCCAGTCTTCTTTATTGCCTCACCTCTCCCTCCACCCTTCTCCCTCCACCCTTCTCCCTTCCCCACCCCATCCTTCCCCAATCAGGTCCTGATATACCACATTCAGGGAATGAGTCGCATTTAATATATTCTCCATCCTCCCCTTCTGGCTCTTCCTTCCACACCCCTCCCTGCTTCCCCTCCCATCAGGTTCTGATAGACCACATTCAGGAGATGAGTCGCATTGTCTACGTCCCAACTGTCAGCAGCACCATGTGTGAGAAACACAGCAGTCTGCTCCTTGCTCTCTTCTCTTCCCCCCCTCCCCTCCTCCCTCTCCCATCAGGTGCTCATAGACCACATTCAGGAGATGAGCTGCATTCTCTACGTCCCAACGGTCGGCACCGTGTGCCAGAAGTACAGCAGCTTGTTCCGGCGGCCCAGGGGCATGTACTTCAGCGCGGCGGACAGGGGAGAGATGGCGAGTATGGTGCACAACTGGCCGGCAGACAAGGTGAATGATGGGGTGCCGAGGGCTGCTTGCTGTGACTGCATGCATGGGGGGGATCAGAGGTAGCGAGTCCAAAATACAGCAGTCTGTTCAGGCCCCAGGGCATGTACTTTAGTGCGGCTGACAGGGGCGAGATGGCCAGTATGGTGCACAACTGGCCGGCAGAGAAGGTGAGGGCAAGAGAGGGCTGTGACTGTATGTATGGGGGAAAGTACTGGGGTGTGCTGAAAATACAGCAGCTTTTGTTCCGGCGGCCCCGAGGCATGTACTCCAGTGCGGCAGACAGGGGCGAGATGGCCAGTAT